TCGTATGAGATTTCAAAATCGACTATAAGATATACTCAATATATTATGATTCTTATACAAGTGAGCGCGAACAACAACTTTTTCTTTATCTATTTACTTACCTCTAAGAGTCCATAGGGATGTTCCCCTACGCATGAACCCAATATCTAAACTTATCAATTAACCGGCCGTCCTCATACTTCGTCCGGTACGAGCGCTAAAAATATCATCTCTCGATACTTCATCCAGTATGAGGGTGAATCGGACCGTCTCCATACCTTGTCCTCTATGAGTGCAAAAAAATATCATTCCTTGATACCATATCCGCTAAAAATATCATCCATCGATACCATGTCTGGTATGAGGTAACGTTCACTGTAGGATTTTCTATGTACCTGATCCGTCCACCATCTTTTAAAATATCTAGTAAAACAACCATTTATTAATTTACATAATTAAGTAATTTTTTATTTGTATATTAATTTTACATGTCACAAATCAACCGTAAATCACACAAAATAAACGATATATACATCAAAGAAACAACACTGAGTCATTTAACTATTTCAATATAATATCATGTATTTAAGATTGTACAAGTAAATAATCAGTTAAATAGGATAAATAAATAACTAATCAGTTCTCGCTTCATTAGTGATCTGTAATTATTCCCAAAGTTTTTTAAATTTTACAAAATATTATATTATTGATTATTAACCTTCAATTCCATAACGTGGAATATAGTGAGAGATTCTTATCTGAATCGGTGTCCGAAATACCGTATTTTCTACCGCATCCGTCTCCTGATGATCCCCGGATTTTTTAAATTTTTCTGCGAAAATTAAACACGCTTCACGTACCTAAAAAAAATACTCTAAAAAATTCAAAACCGGTGTTAAAAATTCTTTAAGACCAATTTCGGGATTTTGACACGATACTGCCACGCGGGCGGCGGTTTGCTCAGCTGACTGTTTTCGATCGACTTTACATGTATCCTACGAAAAATATATTAGGGAGCATCGGTTAGTCGGAAAAAATCAAGAAAATGAAACTATCAGTGGTAGGGTTTTCGGGTGCGGTGGCTCCACCGGCTCTCTTTCGCGGTTGAGATTCCTCATTTAGTCAACTACAGAAAATAGAACGGTGAACACAACAGTAAAAAAATCACACAAAATGGGAACTGAAAATGGGCTCATCGGAGGAGGTTGCGGATTTTGGGGCGCGGCGGTCTTGCTGGGCTTTGCTCGAGATTTTCGACTCATCCGCCATTCATTTTACTTCGATATGGTCACAGGGGTGCTTGGAATCGAATTTCGAGCAGATAAAAGAATTTTTACATTTTTTGACAGTCGGAGATGATTCCGGTGCGGCGGTAATTGACGGTCGACTTTCTTCTCCGACATTTAGTCCTTCTTCTCTAGCGGGGGAGGCGGGGGGCGAATAGAGTTCGGATTCCGTGTGATACGAAATATTTATACTCATCTCGAGTTAATGTAAGTCGTCCATCGCGATCGATCTCATTTGTCCGATCGCATCTAATGTAGAAATAGATCCAGATCGTACATGCGTGGGGGATCGATCCTGGGTCGTCCAATCGTGGGACATACGGATCGTCAACGTGGCCTCCCGCGTGGCGCCAACATCAGTGCGCCTGGCCACGCAATTTGTCGAATCTGCTAACTGGGCGGTTCTACGTAGCTAAACTTTTTCTATTTGTACTTTGATCTTCTATTTTCAATTTGTTTTTCAAAATCACTCATCGAATTTAAATTTTTACCCATCTT